AAATTTAAAAGCTTCTATGCATCAAAGAAAATCAACAGAGTGAAAAAAAACACCCTTATGGAATGGGAAAAAATAATTGCAAATCATATATCTGATAAGGAGTTAATATCCAAAATATATAAAGAAATCCACAACACAACAACAATAATTAAAAAAACCCCCAAATAACCTGATTGAATAGACATTTCTCTAAGGAAGATATACAAATGGCCAATAAGCACATGAAAAGATGCTCAACATCACCGACATTAGGGAAATGTAAATCAAACACTATGAGACATCACCTAATACTCATGGGGATGCCATTATCAAAAAACAGAAAATAACAAGTATTGACAAGGATGTGGAGAAATTGGAACCCTTGTGCACTATTGGTGGGAATGTAAGATAGTGCAACCCTATGGAAAAGAATATGGAGGCGCCTCAAAACATTAAAAATAGAACAACCATTTGATCCAGCAACCCCACTTCTGGAACATGTGCAAAAGTATTCAAAAAAGGATCTCAAAGGGATATTTGTACACACATGTTCATGGCAGCATTATTCAGAACAGCTTTATTCACAAAGGTGAAGTGACCCAAATGCCCACTGATAGATGAATGGATAAAGAAAATGTGGAATATTATGCAGCATTAGAAAAGGGAATCTTGTCCTATGCTACAATGTGGATAAACCTCAAGGATATTATGCTAAGTGAAATAAGCCAGTCATAAAGTGAAAAATATCTGATAAAGTCAAATCTTAAAAATAGAAAATAGAAAGATAGTTGCCAAGGGCTGGGGAAAAAGGTGAGGTGAAATTAATCTTTAGTCAATATAGAGTTTGTGTTGCAAGATGAAAAAGTTCTAGACCGCTGTTGTACAACAATGTGAATATACTTAAAACTACTGACCTGCACACTGGGAAGTGGTTAAGTTGGCAAATTTGATGTTACGTGTTTTTTACCACAATAACTAAATAAAATAGAGGAATCAGTTGTGTGCAACGGAGGCCCAAATTAACAAGGCTAATTAAGACAGAAGTGTATTTCTCCCTGACAAAGGCAAGTGGATTCGAGTGCATTTGGTGGTTCAGCTTCATGAGGTATCCCAGGCTCCTTCTATTTTGTTGCTTTATCGCCATCTCTAGGTTGCTGCCCTCAGGCACATGGCCCAAGAGGGCTTGCCACCATGTCTGCTTTCCAAGTACAGGATAGTGGGAAGGCAGAAAAGGGCATGGCCTTCATTTTTAGACCCATCCTGGAAATTGCACCTGGCACTTTCCATCACCTCCCATGAGCCAGAACTTATTCACATGGCCACATCTAGCTGCAGGGGAAGTTAAGAAATGTGACCTTTGTTCTTGTTGATCCACTAAAATTTGGAGGTTCCATTACTGTAGAACAATGTTTCTCAATACTTTTTTCATTAGTGTCTCTCCTGAGATAAATTAAATTTAAATTAACTTAAATCTAAATTAAATTTTCTCCCTAAGGAAAAAAAATAAATACAGTCATGTGCTGTACAACAATGTTTTGGTCAACGGCAGACCACATATACGATGGTGTCCCATAAGATTATAATGGAGCTGAAAAATTTGTATAGCCTCGGGATGTCGTAGCCATTGTAACATTGTAGTAAAGGCTACAAAAATCAACAAGACTGTGATTGAGATGGCATACAACTTGAACCTGGGTGTGGATGAGATGACATTAAGGAGCTCCTAGAGGTGGTTCCTGAGGATTTCACTAAAGAGGGGTTGTTGGGACTGGAACAGGAATGCATAGCTGAAGAAGAGGCAAGAGAAAAGGTAACTGATGAAGAAATCTCAACCAAATTCACAATGAACGGTTTAGCAGAAGCTTTTGCAGAGAGTGAGAAAGGAAAGTGTGTCTAAGCTGCTGCTCCAACTTCATCAGTAACCAAGGGAATATAGTAAATTCCTAACGAAGGCCTTCTGTTGGACTAGCCACATATACTTTCCAACAGTTCCAATTAAAAGATAAATAATTATAGAAGGCAGTGCCTGTTCCTTCTGTATCCTGATAAAATTGTGAAAATAATTGCTTCCAGACTCCTCCCCATGACTGCTGACTCCAGGTGCTTGACAACCCTACCTAATCTGTATATTCTCTCCACCTGATATAAAACTGTTAACCCTTGAATGTATGTAACTAAAACTGCTGATGCATAGCTATATTTTTTTCTTTTTTTTAAGAAGGCAGGATCTTGTCAGTTTTTGTTGTTGTTAAATTTTTATTGGAGAATTGGGGGATGGGAACAGCACTAGGGAATTGGGGGAAGGGGAACAGACAATTGCTGTCCTTTTGTTCTTGAATCTAGTTGTGGAGGACATTGCTTCACTGGCCCATGTTGGTATTATCATTGCTCTCTTCCCGGGCAAGGCAGATCAGTCGCCGGCTTCTGGACAGCTGCTCACAGCGGCTGCTGGCCGTTCATGTTGGCTGCTGGCTACACATGGTAGCCCATGGCAACCCACTGCAGCAGGGGCTGCAGCCTACGCCGTCGCCGGCGAATCAAGGCAGCCCAGCTCCAAGTTGAGCTGTTGTTCAGCATCTTAGCTGTAGAGGGCAGTGTCACTGGCCCTCATATGTGGGATCCGAACCGGGGCCCTCTGGCGTCCCAAGCCAGCTCTTAACCAACGCGCCGCTCGGCCGGCCCATAGCTATATTTTTCTTTGGCTTCCTGCCTATATAAGCATCCCCTCACTTTGCTAATATTGGAGCACTGTGTCAAGGCTTCTTGGAACTCTGCCCTTGGGCATGTCCTCAGATGGGCCCAAATAAAAAACTTTTTTCCTAAATCTACAAAGGTTCAAGTCTTCTTTTCATTGACAAGAGGAATGTTCATGGTACATTATCTGTTTACAAGCAAATCTATGATGAAAAAAAAGAAACAAACCAAGCAAGCCAAACAAACCAAGCAAGCCACCACAGACATATTTCTAAAAAGAGTGACACCCCCTCAAGAAGAGCCTCTGGCAGGTACTTTGGGAGGGATTCCAGAAAAAGGCATTGTTATCATAGATGACAACTCCATGCATGTTACTGCCCCGAATACCTTCCAGTGGAGCAAGATGTGGAGGTGGAAGACAGTGATATTCATAGTCCTGACCCTGTGTAGGCCTAGACTAATGTGTATGTTTGTGTCTTAGTTTTTAACAACAAAATTTAAAAAGTAAAAAAAAAAAAATTAATATATAAAAAGCTTATAGAATAAGGATATAAAGAAATAAAACATTTTTGTACCGCTGTACAATGTATTTGTGTTTTAAGCTAAGTGTTTATTATAAGAGTTGAAAAGTTAAAAAATTAAAAGGTTTATAAAGTAAAAATGTTACCATAAGTTAAGGTTAATTTATTATTGAAGAAAGAAAATTTTTAATAAATTTAGTGTATCCTAAGTGTGGTTTTTATAAAGTCTACGGTAGTGAACAGTAATGTCCTAGACTTCACATTCACTCAGTACTCATTCACTGACTCACCCAGAACTACTTCCATTCATGGCAAGTGGTCTACGCTGGTGTACCATTTTTTATTTTTTATATTGCATTTTTATTGTACCTTTACTATGTTTAGATACGGAAATACCATTGTGTTACGATTGCCTACAGTATTCAGTACAGTAACATGCTGTACAGGTTTGTAGCCTAGGAGCAATAGGCTATACACCATATACCGGCACTTTGTTTTACTGTGTTTCATAGTGTTGCATTTCTTACAAACTGAAGGCAAGGCCCTCACCAGCAAAAAGATTATGACTTGCTTAATTGCGATTACTGCTTTATTGTTGATAGTCTGAAACCAAACTTGCACTATCTCTGAGGTAGCCTAGGTGTATAGTTGGCTATACCATCTAGGTTTGGGTAAGTGCACTCTATGTTTGCATGACAAAACCACCTAGTGACACATTTCTCAGAATGTATCCCAGTCATTAAGCGACGTCTGACTATATTAAGAAATAAGATTTTGTTGGATAGGATTGAACTTTGGTGTGCCACTAATCATTGGAATACCTAAGGTTTTTTTTATCCATCTAAGAATCAATCTTTGTCCCCTTGAGGGCAACACTCCCCCACCCCCAACTGAGAATGCATGCTATCGAGTAAGTGGGGAACCAGATATTAGCATTTTCTGTTATATGGTGCGCATTTTTGGACTGGTTTCTAGGTAGATTATTAGTGCTTAAATACAACATTACAAAAATCTTTTTGAAGAAAAATTGTGGTGCTACAGCTTATTCATTTGGTTATGCTTAATTTTGGTAATGACTGTGACCATGCATAGAGTGGAGGTGGATTCAGGCCCAGTTTTGCTACTTAATGGCTGTGCAAAATACTTAATTTCTGTAAGCCTCAGTTCCCTCAGCTGAGAAAACTATTACTGACCTCACAGGTTGTTAAAATTAATGGCAACAATGCA